CCAGAGTTCCTCTTTCTCGGCGATCACTGCTGCACTGAAATTGGGAGGTTCAGTGACTGCGTTTGTGGCGGGGGGGGGCGTGAAGACCAGTGCGGCGGCGGAGGCTTCGAAGATTAAGGGCCTGGATAAGGTCCTTGTCGTGGACAATGCGGCCTATGACAAGGTATGCTGCGGATTTTCCAGTTGGGGAGGCTGGAGGTGTCTATGTTGCATTGGGACTTTTTGACAATTACATGCGATTGTCGGGAGGATATGTATCCGTGCTAATCATATATCTACTCCATGAACATAGGGACTGCCTGAGAATTACGCCCCACTTCTCGTTGAGAATATCAAGAAGGAAGGATTCACCCACGTTATCGCTGGCCACAGTGCTTTTGGCAAGAATGTTCTACCGCGAGTTGCCGCACTTTTGGATGTCCAGCAAATATCTGATATCACTGCCATTGAAAGCGAAGATAGTGGGTGGGCCCCATACCGAATAAACAATGATAGATGATTTGAGTTTTGCTAACGTTGCTTGTATAGCTTTCGTCCGACCCATCTATGCCGGCAACGCTATCCTTACAGTCCAATCCACCGATCCCGTGAAGGTCATCACCGTCCGCGGAACCGCATTCCAAGCCGGCGAGGCAACAGGAGGCTCTGCAGAAGTTGTTGATGGCGCCGACCCCAACGTACCATCCCCCACAGAATGGGTATCAGAGGACTTGGCCAAGTCTGACCGCCCTGATCTTGGCACTGCTTCTCGCGTTGTCTCAGGAGGACGGGGTCTTAAATCGAAAGAAGAATTCGACAGGCTGATGCCCCCACTCGCGGATGCCTTGGGTGCTGCTATTGGCGCCTCTCGTGCCGCCGTTGATAGCGGGTTCGCCGATAACAGCCTCCAGGTCGGCCAGACCGGTAAGAACGTTGCACCCGAGCTATACCTTTGTGCAGGGATATCTGGAGCTATTCAGCATCTTGCTGGTATGAAGGATAGTAAGGTTATTGCTGCGATCAACAAGGATCCCGACGCGCCTATTTTCCAGGTTGCAGATGTTGGATTGGTGGGAGATCTATTTGAGAAGGTTCCCGAGTTGACTGAGAAGCTGAAAAAATAAAAATAAAAATAAAAAATCAAAGCGAAAAGTAGCTGCTTTGTTGTTCGTCATTTATTTTTGTGACGTACGCATACACTTTTGTGCCTTTCACACTTTTTCTTTGCAGTTATCGCTCATACCATTTCACACGCTTTTTTTCTTATCTCGTTTCTTCGCAGTTTCACTTAGACGATTTCCTTCTGTTTAACAACAACCCGCCTGTACAAAACTTGCTGTTCATACATGTCTAGTACAAAACAAAATATGCATTGCACGAATAAAGAGGATAGAATGCCTAATATATATCTGTACATAGCAGAATTTATCTTTTAAGTATCCCTGGACGAAGTACCAAGCAGTAAATAAGTTGATATTCTAGCATATGGGGTATATAATTTCGAAATGACCACCCTACTCCCAGTAAGACGGTGTCGTGGTGTAGTTGGTTATCACGTGAGTCTAACACACTCAAGGTCCCCAGTTCGAGCCTGGGCGACATCATCACTTTTTGTTTTTTTTTTACTATTCTTTCTATTCTTCGTATTTCTTGTATGATTCTCATGCAAGTGAAATGTTTTCAAGCTTGTAAATATATGAATGATTTTTTTTATTTCTCTGTACTTCATTGACCTATCAAAGACGATTCTCCCACTCACGATTCTGTCTTTCATGTTTCCTTTTTAGACCATGGCAAGGTTCCAGGGGCGGATTTAATAGTTGAAACCATTCTGAACAGGAGAACTCACTATGGAAAGATTCAATACCCGGTTAAATTGAAAGGGTTTACAGAAGCTGAAACCCTTGGAAACCCGAAGCGCACCTGACAGATGCGCAGGAAGAAGAGGAGGAACTCAATGCCAAATACAGGAATAAGCCTCTGCGACAAAAGGCACAGAAGAGCCAGGAAATGAGATAAGAAACTGAAATTTTCATTATAAGACCCGAAGGCATAAAAGAGCCAAGAAAAGGAGAAGAAAACAGCTCCAAAAGAAGGACTTCTAAAACATGCAACTAATTAGCCGGAATGTTGACCGGCACCTCCCCCAAAACCCTCTGGACATTAGTCTGCGAAATATTTCATCAAAAATTCATATTGTCGTCGACGGCCACGACCACCTCTGTCCAGTCAAAACAATCCATTCGCCGAATATTCCCCGCATTACAAATGGTCTCCAAGAGAACTACATTCGACGTGCGCATGCGCGTATATCTTATTAGCAAATTTCTCTATCACATTCAATGGAGCGAAGACGCGCTAAACGACACGCACGATTTCTTCCGCTGCAACGAGCGCAGCAGAAGCCAGTAGGAGAGGGCAGACACAATCGCGAGAGCGCGCTTGCAGGCGTCACCACGTCTAGAGGACCAGGGGACGAGCTTCCCCCACCTGGCGGAGTAACAGGGGCCATTTTTGCTAAAAAGCGAATAAGTCAGTGATTTTTAACCCGAACGGACACACCATTCCCCAGAATAACAACAAAACTAGCCAGAAAGAAAGAGAGTTAAAAAAGAAAATCCGAATAGATTTTCAACTGCAAGAGAAAGGAAACTCAGACGAAGTAATAATTCTATATGGAAACAAGGGATGGCTATCCCTGGCATGTTCTCCAAGCATAAAGGTCCAAGGAATACCCAGCAGGCAACATTATGACACATCTGTGCATGAGGAATCCATTCATTATACTCCACGCAGGAACGCAGGAACACTGAAATGCGGGAACGCAGAAAGCGCGCTTGATGTTGCGAAGACAGATGGAAAGGCCTACTTTTTTCAAAATGGAAAGACAGGAGTGGGGGTTATGACAGCCGCAACAACAAACGCAGAGAAAATGATGTTGATTCTGACGCTGTAATGTGTCAGAAAGA